GAAAAGACGGGGTCTTGTCCTCTATAATCCCAGCACTTTGGGAGGCCGAGGCGGGTGGATCACGAGATCAAGAGATCGAGACCATCCTGGTCAACAAGGTGAAACCCCGTTTCTACTAAAAATACAAAAATTAGCTGGGCATGGTGGTGCGTGCCTGTAGTCCCAGCTACTCGGGAGGCTGAGGCAGGAGAATTGCTTGAACCCAGAAGGCGGAGGTTGCGGTGAGCCGAGATCGTGCCATTGCACTCCAGTTTGGGTAACGACAGCGAAACTCCGTCTCAAAAAAAAAAACAATAGAGGAAACCCAATTCCACCAGTAGCTCCCTACCCATTTATCTGTTCTTTATTTTATTTATTTATTTATTTTTGAGACAGAGTCTTGCTCTGTTGCCCAGGCAGGAGTTCAGTGGCACCATCTCGGCTCACTGCAACCTTCGCCTCCAGAGTTCCAGCAAGTCTCCTGCCTCAGCCTCCCAAGTAGCTGGGATAACAGGCCCTGCCATCACGCCCGGCTAATTTTTGTATTTTTAGTAGAGACAGAGTTTCACCATGTTGGCCAGATTGGTCTCGAACTCTTCACCTCAGGTGATCCGCCCATCTCGGCCTTCCAAAGTGTTGGGATTACAGGCTTGAGCCACCGCGCCCTGCCGTTTCTGTTTTTTTAAAAGGCATATGATGCTTTAAAAAGTTTGAAAGTCACAAATTTACAACAGTTTAGCTTTTCTGTGCTGTACAGAAACGATGGCCTCACCGCACCTGTTAAAAAAGAGCCTGCCCAGAAAAGGCAGTCTGGGTTGGAGAACTGGCCTAGGATTGGAATTAGATTTGAGGTTTTAGGGTCTGCGAGGCTACACTGGAGGGCGGGTGTTTCCAATAGAAGATTTCTGGGGTGAGCAATGGCAGGGTTCTAGGGACAATATTGGGGTCTGTGGAGACCAGTAATAGTGGAAAAGTTAAGCTGTTCTAAAGCTGTGACTTTCAAACATTTTAAAGCATCACATGCCCTTTTAAAAACAGCTAAGTGGCCGGGCACGGTGGCTCATACCTGTAATCTCAGCACTTTGGGAGGCCGAGGCGGACGGATCACGAGGTCGGGAGATCGAGACCATCCTGGCTAATATGGTGAAATCCTGTCTCTACTAAAAAGACAAAAAGTTAGCAGGGCATGGTGGCACGTGCCTGTAGTCCCAGCTACTCAGGAGGCTGAGGCAGGAGAATCACTTGAACCTGGGAGGCAGAGGTTACAGTGAGCCGAGATCACACCACTGCACTCTAGCCTGGGCAACAGAGTGAGACTCTGTCTCAAAAACAACAACAACAACAAAAACTCAGCTAAGCGGTAGGGAACTACTGGTGGAATTGATCAGTCTGGGTCACTCATGTAGATGCCCATAGTAAAAGCCTGTTCTCTGAGACCGACTGGAATCAAACAGCTGATGCACTTCCAGGTCACTGCCACCATCCCCTGAACACGGCAATGCAGCCACCATCATAGACTGGGCACAGAGTAAAGTACTCTATGTTCCCGACACAGACCATTTTCAGTCTGATGGTGGTGTGCCTTTTGTTGCAAAGGCCACCCAACTATGGGCCTGTGGTCAAAGCCTTCCACAGATGTTCTATGCGCCCTACCATGGGCAGGTATCTGATAATGTTCAACATTGAGATGGCCTCCTCAAAAATGAACTCAAGAAGACTTCAGAACCTACCTCTTTCTCCTTCTCCTGGTCCACTCACCTTAGTAAGACAGTTTGGTCACTAAATATGGCTGTCCCAAGGATGGGATCATCTCCCATTCGGTACCTCAGATAATGGTCAGGACTAAAGGGGTGGGTTATAGAGGCATTTGGGATTCTGCCCTGGCCATTCCTGGACCTGATGTATTTTTCTTTCCTTTAACAGTAATCCCAGGTCCCAGGCTAGCCTAGTTGGTAACCCTTCAGGCAGCAGCCCAGCCCAAAAGAGGCCTAGGGGACTTAAACTTTTTTTTTATTTGAGACTGAGTCTTGCTCTGTTGCCTAGGCTGGAGTGCAGTGGCACAATCTCAGCTCACTTCAACCTCTGCCTCTTGGATTCAAGTGATTCTCATGCCTCAGTCTCCCAAGTATCTGGGATTACAGGCACCTACCACCATGCCTGACGAATTTTTGTATTTTCAGTAGAGATGAGGTTTCACCATATTGACCAGGCTGGTCTTGAACCCCTGATCTCAGGTGATCTTCCCACCTTGGCGTCCCAAAGTGCTGGGATTACAAGCGTGAAGTACTGCGCCCGGCTGGGACTTAAACTTAATTCTGGTCAGTCATCTGAATTTTCTTGTTGGGTGGACACAGTCCTGGATCCTAATGGCAGTGATCACTTGATTGAGTATACTGCTCACCAAGTTCCCATACAGGAAGCAGCTCACACTGGCTAAGATAGGAGACATTAAAAAAAAAAAAACAACTGTGTAAATTTTATAAAAATGCCTTTGACCCTCTTGCACTCGACTCTTCTGGATGAAAGATCTGGGTACAAATAGGGGATGATTGGGAAAAAATGAAGTTACAGGCTCTGGGATGGTACACATTGATTTCATGAGATGTGGAAGGAGAGCATTTGGGGAGTGATACGGTTTGGCTCTGCATCCCCACCCAAATCCCAGGTTGAATGGTAATCCCCACATGTCAGGGGAGGGACCTAATGGGAGGGGATTGGATCATGAGGGCAATTTCCCCCATGCTGTTCTCGAGATAGTGAGTGAGTTCTCACGAGATCTGATGGTTTAAAAAGTGTGTGGTGCTGGGCGTGGTGGCTAATGCCTGTAATCCCAGCACTTTGGGTGGATTGCTTGAGTTCAGGAGTTTGAGACCATCCTGGGCAACATGGTGAAATCCTGTCTCTACTAAAAGCACAAGAATTAGCTGGGCGTGGTGGTGTGTGCCTGTAGTCCTAGCTACTTGGGAGCCTGAGGCAGGAGAATCACTTGAACCCGGGAGGCCGAGGTTGCAGCGAGCCAAGATTGTGCCATTGCACTCCAGCCTGGGTGACAGAGCAACACCCCATCTCAAAAAAAAAAAAAAAAAAAAAATGCTTGGCTTTCTTCTCTCACTCTCTCTCCTGCTGCCTTGTGAAGAAGATTCTTGCTTCTGCTTCACCTTCTGCCATGATTGTAAATTTCCTGAGGCCTCCCCAGCCATGCAGAACTCTGAGTCAATTAAACCTCTTTTTTTCATAAGTTACCCAGTCTCGGGTAGCTCTTAATAGCAGTCTGAAAATGGACTAATACAGGGAGGGAATCTCTTAGACCCTGAGAAGTGTGAGATGAGGAGACAATGAATTCTCTCTTTGTCTCCTAGATTGAGCACTGCAGCCCAACAAACAATCATCTGCTCTGCTGGAGTCAAGCAGCAGGTGCAGCTGGCAATCTGACCTGCTGCCAGGTTCGTCATCACTGTCGTTGGGCGACAAAAACAGAAAAAAAAAACATGTGAGCATGGCTGGCCCTGAATTACACTGCTGTGCCTGATGCCATCAACAATAGCTCCTGAACACAGGCTTCCCTCATACCTGTAGACTTATATGGGCCAGCACAATCTTGTTTAGATCTGACTGATCCAAATTCATCTGCTTCTTCTGACACCGGAGTGGCCTTGGATTATGCCGTGTTTAGCAACTGAGCCACAAGTACTAAGATGCTACTTGCTATCGGTGGAATGTGTGTTTATGTCCCCTCAAAATTCGTATGTTAAAATCCTAACCCCTAAGGTATTAGAAGGTAGGGCTTTGGGGAGGTGGTTAGGTCTTGAGGCCAGAGCCCTCATGAAAGGAATTAGTGACCTTATAAACGGGTCCCAGAGTGCTCCCTTGTCACTTTTTTTTTTTTTTTTTGAGATGGAGTTTCACTCTGTTGCCAGGCTGGAGTATAGTGGCATGATCTCAGCTCACTGCAACCTCTGCCTCCCGGGTTCAAGTGGTTCTCCTGCCTCAGCCTCCTGAGTAGCTGGAACTACAGGTATGTGCCACCACGCCCAGCTAATTTTTGTATTTTTAGTAGAGATAGGGTTTCACCATGTTGGCCAGGATGGTCTCGATCTCTTGACCTCATGATCCACCTGCCTTGGCCTTCCAAAGTGCTGGGATTACAGGCATGAGCCACTGCACCCGGCCTCTTTCTCTTTCTTCTTTATTTCTTGCTCTGTCACCCAGGCTGGAGTACAGTGGTGCAATCATAGCTCACTACAGCCTCAAACTCTTGGCTTCAAGAGGTCCTCCTACCTTGGCTTCCCAAAGCACTGGGATTATAGGCATGAGCCACAGTGCCCATCCTTGATTGTGGTTTCTTTGGTTCCTTAATTGGATTCTTGGAGGGTCAGGGATTGGGCCTATGTGTGATTGCTGTTTGGAGACTTTGGAGGACCCTGTGGGAAACAGCTGCCCCAGACAGGTGGGAATGGGTCTTTAGGGAGGCATGGAGTTGGGTTTTTTAGGTAACAATCTCCCTTTAGATTCAGACCTACATGTATTTGGTGCGTAGCTCTACTATTTACTACTTCCTTACTACTAACATAGTACTTTGTTACTAATGACCTTGGTCAAGTTTCTGATTCCTTCTAAGCCTCAGTTTCCTTCTCTAGAAAATGGAGATAATGTATAATGCATATATTATGTAATACCGTAATACATGTATAGTATATAATATGTATAATGCCCTAGTATTGTTGCGGAAGATCCTCAGCATGTCCATAGTGCAAAACCATAGAAGATTTGCAAGAATAGGGGCAGTAACACACTGGGATGCACCCCTATGGATTCAGGACTTGGAGGGTGGGTGGGGGAGAGTGTGGATAGGGACTGGCTTTGCTGCAGGGCAGCTGCTCCGCCCCCCACACCTCTCTGTGATAAATCCTATCTATCTCCATGTGTCCTGTGAGGTACCTCCACTCCCTCGGACAAATTCGCCCTCCATGTATCCCATCAGGTTCACAGTTTGACTCAGATAAAGGCCAGCAATGGAGACAGTCCTGGGACAGATCTCCTGGTTTTCAGCCTAGGTGGGTATCTGGGAAGTTTGTAATCTTGTCAGCAGAGGGTAGGCAATGTGAGTTGCCCAGGGTGTGCACTGAAATATTCAGGAGCTTTATTTATTTTATTTTTTTAATTTTTATTTTCAGGAGCTTTATTTTAAGTAACTATTACATTGTCATCCTACAGCCTGAGCTCTTGACCTGAGCCTCACAGATGCCCCCTGCCCTCCACAATCACTGACCTCCACAGACCACTCATTCTTACAGTTTTGTTTCTTTTTCTAGTTTTACTGAACTGGCTAGAATATCCAATACAACGTGTTTTTTGTTTTTTGAGATGGAGTCTCTCTCTGTTGCCCAGGCTGGAGTGCAGTGGCGCTATCTTGGGTCACTGCAACCTCTGCCTCCTGGGTTCAAGCGGTTCTCCTACCTCAGCCTTCTGAGAAGCTAGGATTACAGATGCCTGCCACCATGTCTGGCTAATTTCAGTACAATCTTTTTTGTTTTCTTTTTTTTCTTTTGAGATGGAGTCTCGCTGTCACCCAGGCTGGAGTGCAGTGGCACAATCTCGACTCACTGCAACCTCCACCTCCCAGGTTCAAGTAATTCTCCTGCCTCAGCCTCCTGAGTAGCTGGGATTACAGGTGCACGCCACCACACCCAGCAAATTTTTGTATTTTTAGTAGAGTCGGGGTTTCACCATGTTGGTCAGGCTGGTCTCGAACTCTTAACCTTGTGATCCATCTGCCTTGGCCTCCCAAAGTGCTGGGATTACAGGCACGAGCCACTGTGCCCAGCCTTCAGTAGATGTTGAATGGGATTATTGATACTGGAACCTTTGTCTTTTTCCCGATTTAAAGGGAAATCTTTAAACTTTTCCAATTGAGAACACTTTTTGCAGAGACTATCACATTAAAAAAAAAACCACTTTCCATCTTTTCCTAGTTTGATAGGAGTTTTTTTTTTTTTTGACAGGGTCTTGCTCTGTTGCCCACATTGAAGTGCAGTGTCACCATCATTGCTCACCACTAATTGCAGCATTGATCTCCCAGGGCTCAAATGATCCTCCCATCACAGCCTCCCAAGCAGGTAGGATAAGCACACACCACCACAGGCAGCTATTTTTTTTTTTTTTTGTAAAGACAAGGTTTTGCCATGTTGCCCTGGCTGGTCTTGAACTTCTGGACTCAAGCAATCCACCTGCTTCAGCCTCCCAAAGGGCTGAGATGCTGGGATTACAGGTGTGAGCCACGGTGCTCAGCCTTTTTTTTTCAGAGACAGGGTCTCATTCTATCACCCTGGCTGGAGTGCAGTGGTGCAATCATAGCTCACTGCAGCTTCGACCTCCTGGGCTCAAGCGATCCTCCCACTTCAGCCTCCTAAATAGCTAGAACTACAGGTCTGCACCACCACACCTGACTAATTTTTTAATTAAAAAATTATAAATGGATGTTAAGATTTGTCAGATGCCTTTTCTGTGTCTTTCTTGGCAATCACAAGAGTTTTCTCTTTTAATCTGTAAATATGGTAAATTAGTCAGGCAAGGTGGCTCACGCCTATAATCCCAGCATTTTGAGAAGCCAAGGTGGTCAGATCACTTGAGGCCAGGAGTTTGAGACCAGTCTGGCCAACATGGTGAAATCCCCCCCTCTATTAAAAATACAAAAAATTAGCTGGGTGTGGTGGTTGCATGCCTGTAGTCCCAGCTACTCGGGAGGCTGAGGCAATAGAATCACTTGAACTTGGGAGGTGGAGGTTTTAAGTGAGTGGAGATCATGCCACTGTACTCCAGCCTGGGCGACAGAGTGAGACTGTCTCAAAAAAAAAAAAAAAAAAAAAAGGCCAGGCATCATGGTGGCTCACGCCTGTAATCCCAGCACTTTGGGAGGCCGAGGCGGGTGGCTCATTTGAGATCAGGAGTTAGAGACCAGCCTGACCAACATGGTGAAACCCATCTCTACTAAAATACAAAAATTAGCTGGGTGTGGTGGTATGCACCTGTAATCCCAGCTACTTAGGAGGCTGAGTCAGGATAATGGCTTAAACCCAGGAGGCAGAGGTTGCAGTGAGCTGAGATTACGCCACTGCACTCCAGCCTGGGTGACAGAGCAAGACTCCCTCTCAAAAAAAAAAAAAGTAAATTGCATGATTTAATTTTCCAATATTAAACTAGCATTGTATTCCAGGGATAAGCCCAACTTGTTTATGATATATTAACCTTTTTATGTATTACTAGCAGTTCATTTAGGATTTTTGCATCTATGTTCATGAAGGAGATAAACCTGAAAATTTTCTTTATTTAAAAACTATTTTATTATTACTTTTATTTTTTAGAGCAGGGTCTTGTTCTGTTGCTCAGGCTAAAGTGCAGTGGTGTGGTCGTGTCTCACTGCAGCCTTGAACTCCTGGGCTTAAGTGATCCTCATACCTCAGCCTCCCAAGTAGCTGGAATTACAGGTACATTCCACCACATCTGGCTAAATTTTTATTTCTTTACAGACAGAGTCTCGCTATATTGCCCAGGCTGGTCTCAAACTCCTGGCCTCAAGTGATCCTTGTTTGTTATGCTATCTTTTAGGAGTTGAATTGTGTCCCCGGCCAAAAAGATGTTAAAGTCCTGACCGCCAGTAGCTCAGAATTTGATCTTATGTAAAGTTTGGAAATAAGGGTGTTGCGGGTGTGATTAGTTAGGACAATATCCTTATAAGAAGATGGCCATGTGAAGACAGAAACATACAGGGAGAATGCCATGTGGCATGGAAGCAGAGATTGGAGTTTTGCAGCTGCAAGCCAAGAAATGCCAAAAGTTGCTGGCAAACCACCAGAACCTAGGAGAGGAGAGGAAGGATTCATCCACAAGTTTCGGAGGGAGCATGGCCCTGCAGACACCTTGACTTCAGAATTCCAGCTTCCAGAACTGTGAAATAATAAATGTTTGTTGCTCTAAGCCACTCAGTCGGTGGTAGTCTGTAATGGCAGTTCTATGGAGACAATACACTATCCTCCTAAGATGAATTGGAAACTTAAGCCTCTTTTTTCCTCTTCTCTGTAAGAGTTTATGCAGTACTAAAGTAATCTGTTCCTTGGATGTTTTGTAGAACTCAACTGCAAAGCCCTCTGGGCTCACTGTTTTCTTTGTGGGAAGGTATTTTTTTTTTTTTAAGGAGTTTCACTCTTGTTGCCCAGGCTTGGCTCACTGCAACCTCCCCCTCCTAGGTTCAAGCGATTCTTCTGCCTCAGCCTCCTGAGTAGCTGGGATTACAGACATGCACCACCACACCCGGATAATTTTGTATTTTTAGTAGAGACGGAGTTTCTCCATGTTGGCCAGGCTGGTCTCAAACTCCCGACCTCAGGTGATCCACTCGTTTCGGCCTCCCAAAGTGTTGGGGTTACAGGTGTGAGCCACCACGCCCAGCCTGGTATTTCTTTTTTATTTTTGAGACGGAGTCTCTCTCTGTCACCCAGGCTGGAGCGTAGTGGCAGGATCTTGGCTCACTGCAACCTCCACCTCCCGGGTTCAAGTGATTCTTCTGCCTCAGCCTCCTGAGTATCTGGGACTACAGGTGTACATCACCACGCCCAGCTAATTTTTGTATTTTTAGGAGAGACAAGGTTTCACCATGTTGGCCAGGCTGGTCTTGAACTCCTGACCTCGTGATCCACCCACCTCGGCCTCCCAAAGTGCTGGGATTACAGGCGTGAGTCACTGCACCTGGCCAGGAAGGTATTTCTTGAATAGGAACGAAACTCTTAGTCATCTACTGTTTATCTTGAGCACTGAATATACAGATGGGAACAAGATAGGCAAAGTCCTTGCCCTCATGGAGTGACAGTTGACAGAAAAAAATATATATCTATTTATATTTATATCCCATTTCCATTGGTAATATCCAGTAGGCAACTGGATATGTGTGTCTGGGCCCTGCAGAGGGGCCTGGGATACACGTTCAGAAGAGGATGGTTGTGGCCGGGCACTGTGGCTTACGCCTGTAATCCTGGCACTTAGAGAGGCCGAGGTGGGCGCATCACCTGAGTCCAGGAGTTCAAGACTAGCCTTGCCAACATGGCAAAACCCTGTCTCCACTAAAATACAAAAATTAGCCAGGTGTGGTGGCAGGTGCCTATAATCCCAGCTACTCAGGAGGCTGACATGAGAATCGCTTGAACCCAGGAGGTGGAGGTTGCAGTGAGCCGAGATTGCACCACTGCACTCCAGCCTGGGCGACAGAGCCGCCCAGTGTTTTTTTGACACTCTGTCTCAAAAAAAAAAAGAAAAAGCGTGGATGATTGTTGAGACTTCGGGAAAAGATGAGTTTGTCCAGAAAGAGAGGATACATTCCTTTTTGTAAAATTATTTCTGATGCAATAAATTCCTCCTTATGCTATTTGTGCAGCCTCAGGTCTGTGATATCTTTTTCAGAAAAGTTTGTGTAGGATTGGTGTTCTTTTGCTTTTTTTGAGACAGGTCCTCACTGTGTTGCCCAGGCTGGAGTGGAGTGGTGTGAATGTGGCTCACCACAGCCTCAGCCTCGTGGACTCAAGCAATCCTTTCTCCTCAGCCTCCTGAATAGCTGGGACCATAGGTGTGCACCACCACACTTGGCTAATTTTTAAATTTTTTGGTAGAGATGGGGTCTCACTGTTTTGTCCAGGCTGAACTTGAACTCCTTGGGCTCAAGCAATCTTCCCAACTCAGCCTCCTAAAGTGATGGGATGACAGGTGTGAGCCACTGGGCCTGGTTTAGGATCAGTGTCTTTTTCGTTTTTAAATATTTGCTAGAATTCACTGGTGAAGCCAGTTAGAACTTTCAGTACAATATTGAAGAGAAATGGTAAGAGTAGATATTCCTGTCTTAGTCCAGATCTTATGAGGAAAGCATTGTTTTTCACCAGCAAGTATGATGTTAGATGTAGGATTTTTGTAGAAGCCTTTTATTTGGGGATTTTACAAAGATCTTTCTGTTATTGGTTTCAAATTTAGTTCCAATATGGTCAGAGAACATTTCTTGCTTGACTTGAGTCCTTTTTAATTTATTAAAGCTTGTCAATGGTCCAGAATATGTTTGTAAGAGTTCTACGTGCACTTGAAAATAATGTGTATTCTGCTGTTGTCGAAGGAGTATTCTATAAATGCTATTAAGGTTTAGTTGGTTAGTAGTGTGGCTCATGTTTATTATATCCTTGCCGATATTAACTGACTACTTATTCTATTAATTATTAAGAAGGCTTATTGGCCAGGTGCAGTGGCTCATGCCTGTAATCCCAGCACTTTGGGAGGCCAAGGCGGGCAGATCGCCTGAGGTCAGGAGTTCGAGACCAGCCTGGCCAACATGGTGAAACCCCGTCTCTACTAAAAGCACACACGCACACACAAATTGGCTGGGTGTGCTGGCGCATATCTGCAATCTCAGCTACTTGGGAGGTTGAGGCGTGAGAATCGCTTAAACGCAGGAGGTGGAAGTTGCAGTGAGCCGTTATCTCGCCACTGGACAACAGAGAGAGACTCCGTTTCAAAGAAAAAGAAGGCTTACTGAGGCTGGGTGAGATGGCTCACGCCTGTAATCCCAGCACTTTGGGGGGCTGAGGTGGGTGGATCACCTGAGGTCAGGAGTTCAAGACCATCCTGACCAACATGGTGAAACCCTGTCTCTATTAAAAATACAAAAATTAGTTAGGCATGGTTGTGGTGGTGGGTGCCTGTAATCTCAGCTACTGGGGAGGTTAAGGCAGGAGAATCACTTGAACCCAGGAGGTGGAGGTTGCAGTGAGCCAAGATCACGCCATTGCACTTCAGCCTGGTGACAGAGTGAGATTCCATCTCAACAATAACAAAAAAGGCCTATTGAAAGCTCCAACTATGATTTTGGGTTTGTCTGTATCTTCTTGCAGTTCTATCAGTTTTTGCTTTATGCATTTTGAGCTCTCTTTTCAGGTTATAAATGTTAAGGGTTTTTTAATATCTTCTTGACCTTCTTTATCCCTGAAATGGACTTTTTGCAATATTAATAGTAACTCCAAATTTTTTGAAAATACGAGCATGATGTATCTTTTCTATTACTTTTGCTTATTAGTGTCATTGTATTTGAAGTGCATTCCTTGTAGGGAGCACAGAGATTGGTCTTGCTTTTTAATCCAATCTGGCAATGTCTGCCTTTTTATTGGAGTGTTTAGAGCACTTGTATTTAATGTCACATTAATGTGGTAGTTAGGTTTGATTCTATCACCTTCCTGTTTGTTTTCTATTTGTCCCATCTGTTCTTTGTTCCAAATTTAAATTTTTCTCTGTGTTCTTTTGGATCAAATACATTTATGATCCTATTTCATCTCTTTTGTTGTCTAATAAGCTGTAAGTCTTTGTTTTGTTGTTTTAGTGGTTGCCTTAGGGTTTTTTATAGTATACATTGTTAACTTATCAGAGTCCACTTTCTTTCTTTTTTTTGAGATGGAGTCTCGCTTTGTCACCCAGGCTGAAGTGCAGTGGCTTGAGCTCAGCTTTCTGCAACCTTCACCTCCCAGGTTCAAATGATTCCTCTGCCTCAGCCTCCAGAGTAGCTGGAATTACAGGTGCATACCACCACAAGCCAGCTAATTTTTTGTATTTTTTGTAGGGATGGGTTTTCACCATGTTGGCCAGGCTGGTCTTGAACTCCTTACCTCAGTTCATCTGCCTGCCTTGGCCTCCCAAAATGTTGGGATTGCAGGTGTGAGCCATCATGCCCCGCCGTATTTCTTTCTCTTGTTAGATTACTCTAGCTAGGACTTCCATTGCTATGTTGAACAACAGTGGTAAAAATGGGCATCCTTGTCTTATTCCAGGTCTTAGAGGAAAGGCTTTCAGTTTTTCCCCATTCGGAGTGACACTAGCTATGGGTGTATCATATATGGTTTTCATTGTGTTGAGGTATGGTCCTTCTACACCCAGTTCTTTGAGGGTTTTTATCATGAGGGGATGATAAAAGGATGGCTTTATTAACTCCTGCCATTTTGTTATTTGCTTTCTGGTTGTTTTGTGGTCTTCTCTTCCTCCTTTCCTTTTTCCTGTCTTCCTTTTAGTGAAGGTGATTTTCTCAGGTGGTGTGTTTTAATTTCTTGCTTTTTTATTTTTTGTGTATCTGTTGTATGTTTTTTGATTTGCGGTTACCATGAGCCATGCAAAGAATATCTTATAACCAATTAATTTAAACTCATGATAAAGTAACACTTACGGTATAAACATACAAACAAATGAACAAACAAGCAAAGAGAAAGCTAATAAAAACTCTACACTTGAACTTCATCCCCCGTGTTTTAACTTTTTGTTGTTCTTATTTATATCTCTCATAGTTATTTTTTACTGGCTCATCTTGCAGTCTTTCTACTCAAGATGTGAGTAGTTTACACACCACAATGACAATGTTATAATACATTGTTTTTTGTTTCTGCGTATTTACTAGTACCAGAGAATTTTGTACCTTCAAATGGTTTCTTCTTGCTCATTAACATCCTTTTCTATCAGACTGAAGAACTCCCTTTAGCATTTCTTGTAGGAAAGGTCTGGTGTGGATGAAATCCCTCAGCTTTTGTTTTGTTGTTTCTTTAGTGTTCAAATGATATTTTTACCAGATATACTATTCTTGGATAAGAGTTTCTCCTTCAGCACATTATTTTTTAATTTTTGGGGGGGATAGAATCTCACTCTGTCGCCCAGGCTGGAGTGCAGTGGCGCGATCTCTGCTCACTGCAACCTCTGCCTCCCAGGTTCAAGTGATTCTCGTGCCTCAACCTCTCGAATAGCTGGGATTGGGATTAGAGGTGCCTGCCACCACGGCGGCTAATTTTTGTATTTTTAGTAGAGATGGGGTTTCGCCATGTTGGCCAGGCTAGTCTTGAATTCCTGACCTCAGGTGATCCACCCACCTTGGCCTCCCAAAGTGCTGGGATTACAGGCATGTGCTGCCATGCCCAGCCCCATAAAGTTTTGATTGGATGCCAAACATTGTGATTTTTTTCTTTTTCGGTGCTGGATATTTTT